AAATCTCCTTTTCACTGCAAGAATATTGGGGGTCGGGTTAGCTGGAGAAAGGGCTCAGCGGTGAAGAGCACTGACTGCTCTTGCAAAGGGCCAGGTTCAATTCTCAGCACCCATATGGTGGCTAACAACTGTCCACAACTCCAGTTCCATGGGAATCTGATGCCCTCTTCTGACCTCCATAGGCATTGTATGACATGGGTGCGTGTACATACATGTAGGCAATGCACTCATCACATTAAAAAAATAAATAAAATATTTAAAATTATTTTTTCAAGCTAAATTCAGACAATTCATGCCACTTCATTTCCTAATTGTGTCCCTTTTGATCTCGTAGAAATGGTGTTTCTTTACTCCCATGTGTGTTTATGCAGTAGCTAAGCCATTTTTACAGTTCCATGGACTGTAACTGAATAATGCAGTGATGGTGATGGTCTGTAGATTAGGCATGTTCTTTAGTGCCTTTCCCCCTTCTCTTGTCCCTTGGTAGTTTTCTAGATTTTGTGTCATTTCCAAATAGAAGGAAATATGAAATTTAACTTCCTTTTCACATTCATATTTTTATACTGACCTGAAGGTTTATTTGTTTATTTGCAATCTATTTGTAGCACTTTTGTCTATGGAAAATTAATTACATATAGACTGCACATCTGAAAGATGGAACTATTTAAGTGCCTTGGGGTGTTTTTCATAAGATGTAACAGTTTCCACAATCATATCACTTCTGAGATTAAAGTATGTAGTAATGGTATCTTTTGAGATGACTCTGACTTTCTCATTGGCCCTTCTTCACCACTAGAAGTATGACATCATCAGGTCCTATTCTGGGAAAAAACAGAGTAGTGTGCCACTCTGTAACAGTCAGCTAAGAGATAATAGAATGCCAAATAACAATGAGAATTTTATGACCCCCTGAACTTCCTTTTAAGGCTTCTCCTTCCTAGTTTTTCACAGATACCATTGATATACATAAAATAAGTTCTTTTTATGTGGCATAATGGTTGAGAACATGGGCTAAGCTCAGGTTTTTAATTCATGGTTCATCAATTGTAAACTTTGAACAAATCTTTTAAGCTTCATTTATTCAGCTTGCCTATGAAATATAAATTATAGCAGTGCCTAGATCAAAGAAGAGGGTAGTGTGTGAAAAGTACCGTAGAGTCTGCTTGTTGCATAGTAAAGTGTCAATCACATGAGCAATCATTAGCTGTTAGTATATTTGTAATTTGGAAAATGTCGTTATAGGAGGCCTATTCGGCCATCATACGTGGACTGTGAAAAGAAAGCAACACCATGTCTTGCATTTATCAAAGTATTTGTTGCTTTATATGTATCTGTATAATTAGTTTGACTGTACTTAAATACCAACATCAGGTTGTTTTATTTTATGCAATGTTAAATGAGACCACAAATTAACATGTCTCCTTTCCTTTTAATCGAAATGGGCAATCAGCGTGACTATTTTTATGTTATTAAATAAAGAACTTTCAGCCCTAAACCGATGTGAACATGAGCACCACTAAATAAACTCAGTACATTATAGATAGATATAGATATAGATAGATAAGTGTGTTTCCCGTATGTACATAGTTAGATGAATGTAACAGTATTCAAAGAAGAGGGGAAGAAATTGAGAGGGAGTGGTGGGTGTGTGTGGTGTTGGAGGGGGTGAGGAGAGGGTGGAAATGGTGTAAATACAGTACCACCCACTTATGGAATTCTCAAAAAATTTTAAACAGGTAAATAAATAAATAAATAAATACATGAATAAATAAATTACATTTCCAGTTGGGACACTGCAGTAATGATGATGTTTTTATTAGGGCAAGTGTGTACATATTCTGTAACTTCTTTCACTTGCAAGCATGAACAGGGGACAGCCCTGTGTCTAGACTGGCCACTCCCGAGGTCTGGTCACAACATGCCACCACAGTGGGGGCAAGTCACCTGCCTTTCTGGCAGAAGGCAAAGCTTCAGTCTTAGGACCATCAGGTGGTGTCTCCTCTTATAGCTGCTTAACCTCCCGCTCCCAGCTTTCTGTTTGCAGTTTCTTCCACTGCTCTGTCTTGGCAAAGTTATCAGGATACATATCCTTTTCAGAAGGATGCCAGAAATCTAAGCACCGCTCTGGAACCTTGTAACACTCATATCTCTCACAGGAGGTGCCCCGAGCAGAGTCAGGGAAGATATAGGGCCGAGGATGCTGATTTTCCTAGAATTCTTCTTCCGCCTCCCTCAGCACATATCCTTTTCATTCTTACGTTCTTCAAACCGTGCTCTCAACAAACAAGCAAAATAGCGATATTTGTCCCCGTGGATACACCACAACGCGAGGTGGTGCAGCGCCCATTTATACAGCCGCAGCACCTTCTGCTGGTGGCTCAGGAAGGCCGGGGGCACGCAGAAGGCCATGGTGCTCAGCTCACCTTCAGTGGCCGCGAGGGTTGCTTATGATGAGAATAATTTTAGATGTATTTTAATTGTATTTTTCTGTCTATAAAAAGAATTTTCTACACATGGTTTATGTCATTGTCCTAAACTAAAATTTGTACTAAAATTTGTAAAATTTTTGAGTTCTTTTTGGAAAGGCATAACTTTTCTAGTGAGTAATACTTTCTGAAAGCTATTATTATCTTACTAAAATTTGTATCATGAATTGCAAGTATTATGAGTTAAATTTCTCCATTTTAAATTATACAGAAAAAAGTCTTAGGAAATTTCACCTAATTTCTCATTATTTAACAAAACAAAAGGATTTATTGAAACTTATAAAGCTGTATGCTATGACTAATATCCTTAAAGTAGAATTCATATTTTAATTTGTTGACTACTCAGTGTGCCTACTGTGTACTAACAACTGTGTTAAATTGTTAAGTGTTGAGATTATAGATTGAAATGAAGCATAATTTCACGAGTACAAAGATATGAAGAAATTAGCTGTATTGACAGCAATATTATGAAATGCAAAGAGGGTTAGGAAAATGCAGAGAATGAGATTTAACAGCTCTGCAGAGTGGCTGTAGAGGGCAAGGATACAGAAAATACTTCAGAGGTAAGGAGCTGAAAGCTGAGAGATTAAGGATGATTAGATCAAAGGAAGGAGTCAAGAGAACTGTGGAGGCTTACCAAGCAAAACAAGAAGGGTAGAGAAAATGGCACTTCAGGGTGGAGAGTGATGGGGACCATGGATACATGCTGTTACTGAAGAAAGCATTGGAGAACATGACCTGTACCAAGTCCCAAGATTATGTGCAGACCAGTCTCCAAAGCTTCAATGTACAGTTTTGAACATTTTCTGAGGGCAAGGAGGGATTTTGAAAGCAAGATTTTCTAGCAAAATTTTGTTTCCACATTTATATTTTAGAAATTTAATGGCAGCAAAATTGGAGGCAGGTTGGAGGAGAGCCCAGTTTGAAGAAGGGGAACCAATTAGAAGGCAATTATAACAAATACATTATGCTAAGCCAATGAGTAGGAAAATGAAAAGGAGAATCATAAAATTTCAAATTTTCTTTAGAAGTAAAATTCATAGGATTTAGTGGCTTATATCAGTATAAGAAAGAATAGAATTAGCATTAATTTAAAAAGCTGGAAATGGTAGTGTAGCTCTCTTCTGAAATAGGGACATAGCACAAGAAAGAAAAGGAATCTCACCATGTGTTAGATTTCACATGTGAAACTGCCCATGTATCATGGAATTTCCTATTAGAGACAGATGGTTGGCTATTAGAAATTCAGATTTGAAATTTGTTAAGTATATCTAGAAAATAAAGAGAGCAGAGGGCATCTAACCTACATCCATGATGGCTGATAATGAGCACACATGTCATGTAGTACATGGTAAAGTATTGTCTAAAGTAATAAGAAAAACAGAAGCCTCAGCTAGTAGCATATTGAAATGACCAGGAATATAAAGGTTAGCAGAGGTTCTTGAGAAGTCATGTGGGAAGTTAAAAGTGGAAGTGAAATGCATAGACACTAATGCACTGGCTCATGTGGAATGGTCTTAAAGATAATATGCATAACCCAGCTGTCAGGCATCGTCAACCCTTGGGGTGGCGTTAAAGAGAAAACCAACGACTAGAAGTTTGGGGTTGTTATTTGAAATTTTAGGATGTGAGGATATTTTCTAACTGTACATTTTTCTATTTCTCTATTTTTGTAACTCCTTGTGAGCTTTTCCATATCACAAAATAAAAAGTTTTAAAAAGTCATCTCAAAATGTAAGTTGTCATCAACTGAAAATGAAAAATCAGATAAAGTTAATAAGAACAGAAAAGAGGAAAAGGGCAACATGGAGTGGTCAGCAGTGTCATTCTGCAGATAGGTCAAAAAGAGACAAGGGCTGACAGGAGCCTTTTAGCTTGGTATTTACATTTGGTCACAAGTGACCTTATTAAAAGCAATTTCACTGAAAGGCTAAGGTCAGAAGCTTGACCAGGGTTGTTGGGAAGTGGAAAGTGAGAACATTAAGAGGTGGTACAGTCATTAATAACGGAGGAGTGTGAAGGGGAGAAAGACTAAATAAGAATTTCAGGTCCAATATGAGTGGGGTGGTTTTGCTCAGGATCCTTATGGTATAGATCTATCATATTCAGACATGGTTTATCACAAGTTATCCAGGAACCTGAAGTGGCCTGAAAAGTTAATATGTTCACTCCCCAGTCATTCTAGATCTCAGCTTTTCTAACACGGCCATATCCAATAGGTTTTAAAAGAAAGCAAAGAATTTGCCTAACAGGATTTCTCATGACCTGAGCCTATTTAGGAACCGGAAATAGGTACCTATGGATGTCAGATCCCCTGCAGTACAGAAGTAAGGAATGTATCTCTAACTTGAAAGGAAATCCAACTATTTCCACTAATGAAATTTTTAAGAGGCAAAATTTATCATATTTCAAAGGCTATACTAAATGACATGTTAATCATGTTCATATTTTTTAAAAAATAAGATGATATAGACAAGCTAGTAAATTTCTCCTTTTTTTTCCCTTCTTCTAAAGCCGAACAACAACTTATCCTTACACAGAAACACAGATGTACAGCCAAAACACTGGAGGAAATTACTTTGATACTCAAGGAAGTTCTGCACAGGTGACGACCGTGGTCTCCTCCCACAGTATGGTGGGCACTGGTGGTATTCAGATGGGTGTCACAGGAGGACAACTCATCAGCAGCTCTGGAGGAACCTATCTGATCGGAAATTCAATGGAGAATTCTGGTCATTCAGTGACACACACGACTCGGGCCTCCCCAGCTACAGTAAGTATTGAGTTTTCATTTACTTTAGCATCTGTGGCTTCTATTGTACTGCTTCCTCTATGGAGGGAAACACATAACAGAGATTAGAGTGGGTCAAAACATGTTAAGCAGTTCTCATATTATGACACTTTGCAGGATGTAACAGGTAGCATTATGAAGACTCACTGACACTCATGCCCCAGTTAAGTACTTAGAATGTTCTCATTGGCAATGGAAATGTATAGAAATGAGTTTTACTCATGTAAATGCTGACTTTGCTGGGGTTTTGGATGCATGTCTGCCTTCTTGCAATCAGAGGCTGAGGCAGGAGGACTGCTGAAATTTGTTGCTGACCAAGGTGCAATCATCTTTCCACACTGACCTATACATACTGTGCCATTTAAGTTCAGTTTTCCCTGGCTGGTCCTTGTTGTGCAACCTATAACCAATAGCACAACTCATATAAATGACAGCAGCTTATATTTTAGGCAAAATTGCTGACTGCAAAACATACTTACATCTAAATATGCAGATTCCTTGCCCATGGATACAGCCAACCACAAGTAGAAAATATTTGAGAAAAAAAAACTTGTAATGAGGATGTATAGCCTTTTCTTGGTATTTTCCTCAATATGATGTACTTTATTAACTGTTTTCATAGCATTTATATTGTGTTAAGTCTAGTGGTAATTTAACATAATACAAGAGGGCCAGAAAGATGACTCAGCCTAATGATTTGAGTTCAGTCCCCAGGACCCACATAGAAAGAAGAGAAAACTGATTCCCAAAAGTTGTTGTCTGACATCCACATGCATATGCAACACACACACACACACACACACACACACACACACACACACATACACACAAAGAGACAGAGCAGAGAAATACATTGATTTTTAAAAAGAAATTATAGAAGAATATGCTCATACAAGAGATTATACACATCTACTACACTATTGTATATAAAGGCCTTGAACATTCAGAGTCAAAGTTCCATGCAAACCAAGAGACAACCTGTAGTCAATTGGGCCATTCCTTAAGAACTAAGAAGGAAGTGCTGTGCATAATCAGCTCATTCAGTTGATGTGAAACTAATTAGTTTTAGATATTTGACAAGAACAACTGAACACCATTGCTCAATTCCTGGCTAGAAGGTTTCCTGCCTTGGTCCTCAGAATAATTGCATTTGACTTCCTTTTATAATTGGCTTGTGGCTATATAGATACATGTCCATTTAAAATTATTAGAAATAGCATCATGTCCTAAGAAAACTTTAATGAGAAGACAGTTTCTTAAGATATATTAATGAAGAAGGTTGATTATTTGAAACTAAAACTGCTACTAAGGAAAATAAGATTAGCTCTTGAACTGTTTTGTTCGTACTTTAATATTAAACATGTAAATTGGAACCATCTTTGCTGTAGTACAATTATCTACAAATTATTGGTAGAATTTTTATTGCATGTAAAATTCACTTTAGCTTTATAACTTTAAATGGAAAATTTGCATAAAGATGTTTTAGTATTTTATATTTGGCATATATATCCTGAAAGTTTTTAGAATTTTTAATGAACTTTTCCAATTTTCATAAATATTTTAATTATATCTAGATCACCTCCAATGTCTGTACCCCTACTTTATCACCTCCTCCAAATTTTTGTACTCATATGTGTGTGTGTGTGTATATATATATATATGTCTGTATGTATGCATGTATGTATTAAGGACTATAGAGTCATGTTTGTGTCCCCAAACACCCTTCTGTGTGTGTTCATCCAATGGAGCCATGTCAATTTACCAAGATTCTCACCCTTAAGACTATATCCCCCTTCCCAGGAGACATCAGATGCCAATGGTTTCTCCAGTAGTGTTGGGTTTCTTACCTACTTCCCCATATCTATGCTGGGATTTTGTCTGGCTTGAGCTTACATAAGACTTATCTGTGCTGCCATCAATGCTGTGATTTCATAAGAGTAACTGACCAGCTGTCTGGAAAACTGTTTCCTTGTGGTCACCCACCTCTCCTGACTTTTACAGTCTTTCTGCGCCCCTCCCCACCCCACCCTTCCACAATGATTCCCTGAGGCTTGGGAGGAAGAAGTTTGATATGGGTGTCCCATTCAGGGATAAGCAGTCTGCAGCCTCTTATTCTCTGTTGGGAAGTTGTGGTTCTCTGTTAATCATCATCTGTTTCATAAGGAAGCTTCTTTGCCAAGATTTGAGAGATGCATTAATCTGTAGGTATAACAATAAGTCATTAGAAGTCAGTTTAATAATATATCTATTTAGCAGAATAGCTGTATTAGGTTTTTTCCCAGGGTCTGTGAGCTGTCTAACCTCAAGTTCCTAGGCCTGATATCAATGTTTGGGCTCCATGCTCTGAAGTGAACCTTAAATCCAATTGGAAAGTAATTTGTTACTTCCTGATATTGGTGCCTTTATTGTACCAGTGGGCTTATCTTGCCAGACCAACTGTTATTGTAGCTCATAGAATTCACAGCCAGGAGAGGAGGTAGAATGCAATGATATAAAGAGGGAAAGTGGAAGAATAGAGTAGGAAGGGTTAAATGTGTTGGGGAATGGGAGGGCAGGGCAGAGGAGGGAGTATGGAGAGGGACAGCTAACACTAAGAGCCTTTAGAAAAAGCCATATGTAAGCCTATCACTAAAGAAACTACTTAAAGTATATGTATACATTGTTAAAAGAGATTAAAAGTAGTTCTAACAGGGGGACATTGCTTCTACTAGACACCATAGACTAGCAAAATAAAAGTCTAATGCCAGGAATGGGCTCCCTCTTTGGAAATTGTTGACCAAGGGTCCTGTATATCCTCAAAAAATACTGACCACTGCCCCTGCTCTTGGGTACCCACCAGAACTTGATGGTAAGCCCCCACTGCTGAAGACACAACATACATGAGCTGTAGAACAAACAAGGAGAAATCAAGCTGCTGCTGACTTCAGAGCCTCATCTCTACTGTCTAGCTTTCATAGTGCTGGAAGGTGCTATGCATGCTGCCTAGAGAGAAAATTTAACATGAAACATTTTGTTAAAGGTATACATGAATGTCAACATTTTTTAAAAATGATAATGGTAACCAGTTTTATATGATGTTATGATACAAATGAACAATATTCATATTTGGTGAATATACCATTGTGCCTTTTACTTTCTATATTATTTGGTCAATAATAGCCCATGTCTTTATAAATTTTATATATATACACATATATGTGTGTGTGTCTGTGTGTGTGTCTCTCTGTGTATGTCTATATATGCACATACCTCTTCTCATATAAAAACACATAAACACATGAAAGATATTTCCTTCTGATAATGTTCAAAAATGATTTTTAAATGTGAATTTTAAAAAAGACTAGCATTTATCTTGAATCATCAGTGGACATGATATCCAGGCTAACTGCAATTGAATAAATGTTTTGGATTATTACACTGCAGTTAGGTGTCTGTTTCAATAGCGTGTAGATCTTAAGATACAGGAGTAAATTATTGTCATGAGTCTGGATTCATCCTGCACCTTCCTTCTGACTAGATCACTGTTTTCCCCTCCATGTGCTTATTTATTTGAAACTCTCCTAAATTTTGTGATTTTTTTGTATCATCTACATGTACAGAATTTGGAATTTTGAAAACTAAATGTAATTTTCATTTACAGAGCAAAGAGTATGTGAATGTAGTGATTCTTTTTGGCTTATAACTGCATTCTTTATCTTGTCCTCTTCTAGAAAGTAAATAGGAATATACTTTTAAGAAGCTTTATTCTTCCCTCCATTAAGTAGTATCTTTATCTTTTTGTTTAATTTTTTGTTGTTTGTTTTTGAAACAGGGTCTTCCTATAGCCCCATTTGGCCTGGAACTCACTATTCAGACCAAGCTAGCTTCCACCTGCCTCTGCCTCCTAAATGCTGATATTAAAGGCATGTGCCACCATGACAGGTGTAGTTGTATCTTATAATCAGTTTTATGCTGATATTTTTTGTTCTTCATAACTAAGTAGTATTGCACTAAGCCTTTCTGAGTCTGTAATATGAAAGCTAATTTTATCATGTGTATTTAATAATTAGATATGTTACAGAGCTTTTGCTAAAATTTAATCTTGCCAAAAAGTACAAGGAAAATATGTTGAAATTAATATTTTTAACCTCTTTTAATTAATTTAGAATATAATATATCTAATTATATGAAATTTCAGCACTCATCTGCTACTATGTAAATAAAATTTAGTTTAATTTCTATAATTTATAGAAAGTAAGAATTCATTGAATTCTTGGGCTTAAGTGTTCATGACTCAGTATAATCTGATTTTTCTAAAACAAAGAATATTTTTAACTCCTCAGAAAACCATTTTACCCTCTAATTCCTTTGCTGACATGGTACCAATGACTATTTGCTTTATTTTAAATTCTGTTAATTTTTATGAGTTATTCAGCAATTCTCAAATTGGGTGTGGAATATATAAAAGAGGAAGCATATCATATCTCCTTCTTACCCTGAACCCTTTGTCTTCTTTAGAAGCAGCTGGTGCTATCCAGTTCTTTAAGTATCATACTAGAAGTTTCCTAATGAATACCATGCAGAATGTCTTCATTCTTTTCACATAATTGATAACAAAAATACTTTATCTTTCTTTTTCCTAACAATGTCTTAGAGAATTTTTTTCATATCTGTGTATAGAGCAGATCCTTAAATTTATGAAAAATCATTAAACATAGCAGAATTGCCCATTCATCTTACCAAAAGGAAATATTTAATTAATATCAGACTTTTGGATATAGCTATGTAGTTATAGAAAAGCAATATAGGCATTTAAAATCAAAATGTATTTATCTTATGTAGAAGTATGCTTAAAAGAACATAATTTTCTAATGCTGGAAATATACAAAATTATCTATGTTAGAGTTCTTAATGTAAAAATAATTTAGTCTTCCAACTAGTTTAAGTAATTAAGAAACAGTGCCCTCTCTACTTATTTGAGCAGAAGTGTATGTGATCTTAGC